ACACTAATATTTATTTTATAATTTCCGCCACCATAATATATAGACAATGGAATGTCATTTTCTTGTTAATACAAGATTAATAGTCACTAAAGCACTATATTTATATTTGTATACCCTGATCCTTAGCCAAGACAAGAATGAGACCATCCTAAAGCTAAGGACATATCACAAAAATATTCCATTCTTACAATGAATACAAGGTGATATATTTATGGACATAAAAATATAGAATGTTGGCCATTAAAGTACTTTATAGTTCTGGTCTCGACACAATAAACACATGTCATATTAATTTCCATATGAGATGCTATACTCCTAGCACTATCTATACATTTAAGGGCTCACCACCCTGATTGTCTCATCAAGTCTACATGACTTGAAATGTTGGAGAATGTACATCATAAGGATATGATGATTATTGCATATGTATTGGGATTAATATAGAGTTTCTTATCCCATGTGTATATATAAAATGGTCTCATAAAAGTTGTCATCAAAAGAATATAGATGGTATCTAAGGCATTGGTTATGTATGCCAAATTACCCACATCTGCATGGGGTTAAGCAAATACTACATGTGACCTTATTTATTCGTTTTTAGACCCATTACTAACCAACAATCTCATGCACATAAGTTGGTAACTGGATATAAGACTGATATTTTACATTTACGTATGTCTGGTTGTGTTATATATGTGCCAATTGCGCCCCCACAGTGCACCAAAATGGGTCCTTAAAGATGATTATATATAAGTTGGATATGAATCCCAACAATTATCCTCTAATTAGAACCCTAGACAGGTGATATGTTTACCGTTACATTTGTCGGTTATCACTTTGATGAGACAATCTCCCCGTCGTTATGGGAAGATAGAAAAAAAAAGATTTTCTATAGGAATGACAGGAAGTGTCATAGAATATTATCATTTTGTCTCATTTTGATTCTCAAACTTCACAACATAAAGTTGAAGTCAAACGAATCACACTCGATACCTGATACGTTTAGTGTTATTCAAGGAGTGACAAAATAACATATACCATCTGCAAATATACCCACAATGTTAAAATTCCCCAAACAAGGCACAATGCCGCTGAAAAGTGCATTGCAATCACATATGGTATAAGTGTGGTTGAGGTCATGGCTCCAAAAAGAAAATGGCGGAAACTACTTGGTTCGATAGATACCCATCTAAAGGAAAAGAACAGTAAGAACACAACCATTTATCATCAATACATAAACCTCTCATGAGATTGTCTATGAATCATTACTGGAGGACGCTCTGAAGTTAGTTTTGATTCCAGATATCAAAGAAATCTCAAATGAATTATGAGAGTGCATATGAGTCGATGGACAAATCATACATGCTCATTAATGATATATCGTATATAATGTTGCTCATAAGATGATAGAGCACGATGACATCGAACCATGATCAGTTGAAAAATGTCAATGAAGAGCAAATATGACCTAAATGAAAAGAAACAATCTAGGAAAGTTATACTATTTGACAAATGAAAGGGTATTTGGTCAAGTAGTACTAACCCACCAAATATAAAGCTGTAGGACATAGATAAATTATTTATTAGAAAGTGTAATGAGAATAATTAAGTCATAATATATAAGGATCTCATTTGGCGAAAGATTTCTCACAACGCCCTAGATTGACCACAAGAAGACTTACACTCCCGTGATGGATGTTATAACATTCTGCTAATTAATTAGCCTAGTAGTTTCCGAAGGACTGGAAATGTAGCTCAATGATGTGGTTACTACATATCTCTATGGGGATCTAGATTCAGAGATATATAAAAGTGTTTAATGACATTACATTACCCAAATCAAATAATTCTAAACCACAAAGTACGTTTGCAATAAAATTAGAACGCTCACTTTATAAATTAAAGCAATCTAGGTGGATGTGGTATACTTGCCTAAGTGAATACTTGATTGGGAAGAGATATAAGAATGATGAACTGTTCCCTTGTGTATTAATAAATAAAACGAGTTCTAGACTTTCAATCGTAGCTCTATATATCGATGTTGTGAACATAATAGACACTCTTGATGAAATAAGAGAAACCCCCAGCTACTTGAAATCTAAATCTTAGATGAAAGATCTTGTAAAAACTTAGTTTTGTCTAGATATTTGAGCTAGGACAACGAGTTTGTGGAATAGTATCCCATCGATCCACATATGTTTAGAAAACGATCAGGCAATTTAATATGGACAAAATGCATTCGGCTAGCACTCCCATGATCAGTCGAAGTGTTGGAATATAAGGAAAGATTCATTTCATCTAAAGGATGATGACAAAGAGGTTGGGAGCTGGAATTCCCCATCTAAGTACAATATACACATTATTATACTTAGCACAATACACTTGACCATATATTGTATCTCTCAATGAACTTGTTAGCTAGATTTAGCTCAGTGCTAATGCAACGTCATTGGAATGATATCAAATTAATCTTTTGGAACCATTAACGTGGGCTTGTACTTTCCTACAGAGAGAAAAAATGATATTGATAATGGAACTTCAATACCTACTTAGATAGTGAACGACAAAATTACTAGCCCTTATATAAAAAAAAATCCAATAATGTCATGGTATGTCATTGCTAATACTAACTATCTACCTGACTCATACAAAGGTCATTCCCAAACTGGACAAGGAATTGTCATAGGGAACATGCCTATTGCTTGGAAGTAAACCAGACAAACCCTTGTAGCTGCCTCTTCGAACTATTCCAAGAATATTATTCTACATGAGACTGTTCAATATTGTACATGGTTAAAGACTTACACATATTAGATGAACTAATGTTTTGAGTTCATCTAATACCCTACCTGCATATATGGAAATAATGCATCGTGTATTAAAGAAATTAAAGTAAGATACATCAAGAGTGATAACACAACATATTATGGTTTAAGTTTATATACAATCAACAATAACAAACTCTCATCTAGATTTAAGTGAATCAAGTATAATGACAGAAGAATGTGACATATTTGCTTACCAGATCATTGCCTAAAACTATATTTGGGAAACATGTAGAAAGTGTCAGAATGCATTGATTTTCTAAACTCTCTTTGATTAACGCATGAACCAGGGGGAGTAGTAGACAAATGGGGAGTCTACTATATATGTAATATTGATATGTTATGCTCTTTCCTTCACCCAAAGGTTTATTTTTTCCATTAGGTTTTGTTCCTTGGTATAAGGTTTTAGTGAGGCAACAATTTATATATCATTCTACTTTTCTAACTCTCATGATTAATGTACAAATTTGAAAGAATATTAGACTAAAAGTAATAACTCTCATGATTAATGTACAAATCTAAAAGAATATTAGAGTAAAAGGAAAAGTCTATGTATTGCAAAGAAACTGGTGTGTTGTACTCTTTCCTTCATCATAATTTTATTTTTTCCCACTGACTTTTTTATTTTGGCGTAATTTTTTAACGATGCAACAATTGTGCACCATCACTCCTTTGACTCGGCACAGAGGGGAGTGTTGTAGTTATCTACTTGTAACTCATCCATATAAAAATGACTTATGATTAATGAGAATTACATATTCGTTCTCTCTATTCTATTTTTGTTTTTTTTTTCCAGTTATTCTATAACAAATTTAACTTTATTTTGAGGTGTATTTTGACAATTTATTTTCAAATAAACATTTTTCAAACAACAGGTCCTTAATCGTGTATTTTTAAAGTATGTTCTCTAAAATGTAACTGAATTTTAAAATATGTTCTTTCAAATGTCAATCGAATAAAAGTTACATTCCTTTTAGATGCAGTTTTCCTAAATTAACAAGGTAAATTTGTTTTTCAAATAGCAGTTTTTAGGATATCATCATAGTATTGCATTTGATAACGTGAACAAACAGTGTCAGACTTGAATTATCCTTTGAATCATTGAATGGTTATGATATGATTATTAGTGAACTGGACATATCACCAAAGAACATAAACGAAATGATAAAATCAAAAGTCTAGCGATACATTCATGCAAGGTCATAATAGTCATGAAAATACCATATCATTGTATATAAAGCTGTATAAGTCAACATGCATGATATATTTTGACCAAGTAAAAAACTTATACATCATGTGTATGAACCTAAATCATGTCTTATATAACAATAGTCGTGATAGTTGCCAAAAACCCTTATGATGCATGGTTTTGTTCTTGTTGACATGTCTCAACGGTAGAGGTGTCAGTGTAATCCATATGAATGATGTCCTAAGTTCAAGTCTAAGAACAACTCCTCTGTCAGCTGTCCTGATTTATTTCCTTCATGATGCCTATTGGGGGGCGGGGGTACGGTGAGGGGACGCTCCAGAGTGTGACATCTATCCCTTTTTATTATAACCTAAACATTGGGTGCTTTGCATGGGCCATTCTACGAGATTTAGGGGCCGTTTACTAAACCCTCATTTGGTAAGTGCTTACCGAATAAATTTTCTTATCGGATGAACATAACAAGGGCCAATAATCTTACCGGGTAAGAACGATGAGAAGGATGAAGTCTTACCAGGTAAGTGAAGATTACGACTCTTACCCAGGTAGGCGCTTACCCGGTAAATTGTTGCATTCAATACGTTTTGATGTACTAAAATCTTACTCATCAAAATAAATTATAGTGTTGACTCCTATATGTAATCACTTACCGAATAAGCATTTGGTTAAAGAGCCCCTTAGTTAAGAGACAAATATATAGATAAAGGTTTTATTGACGATTATAGAGATAGGGGAAATGTATGCATATATTTTACCCTGCATTTTAGGTGGGATTTATGGGATTTGGTTTAGCACATTGAGAATTCCACCAACTTTCAGGGGTGGGTTTGGAGTTTCTGTAAACCTGAGGGGGTAGTTTGGATAAATTTCTCTAATCACAAGAAGAATTCAGAAGGAGGTTGACTTTGCTTCCGATACCGCCATTGTTAGCAACAGAGAAGCATCCATACTTGAGGCGGGACGGCTATGTTTTTTTAAAACGATCGAATAATTTATTGGAAGAAATCGATAGAATTCATTCATGGGTCCACCGACGTTGCTCAGTCCGCCATTACTGCTCCATCACAACTTCATCACTACCAATAAACTAATAGTAGTTTCCAATTGTTCTTGTGTGGATGACCAAATCAGAGACAAAAACCCTTCAATTCTTCATGCGTTTCATACCTACATTTCCTCAAATTGCAAAACCAATCTCTCTAAATTATTTAATTTTGTATCCGTGTGTGTTGCGGTGTGTGCGAAATGGCAGGGGATACAAGCGAGGGTTCAAGGCAACTTGATCAAACACCCACGTGGGCCGTTGCTGGGGTTTGCGCAACCATCATCATCATCTCCATAGCTTTAGAGAAAATCCTTCACAAACTTGGAAAGGTAACTTCGCTTTGAGTGATTCTGCTAATTTTCCTTGATTTTGGCTTTGTTTTATTTCAAATCTATTGGTTTTGATCATTCATTTGAGGTAATCTTTGTTAACTCTTCATACATTTGATCATATTTTAGAGGCAACTGGCTGCACATAACCTGTTCGATTTAAGTTCATACATAAAACTTTTCCATTTCCCACAAATTCTGTGTTTTGACTTTTCGTTGCTTTTATCTGAATCATTTTCTTTGACTTTCTCCCACATTCCCCCCACATTTTCAGGATTGAAGAATGATTGATTTCATTCTTACCCAAATTCCATTATTTTTGGTTTATTGCTGAAGAACCCATCGGTTTTGTGGCTAAATTGCAACAGATAGTACGATTATTGATTTATTTCTGTATTTAGTGATTACTGAGACTATGAAAATTTCTAACAGTTCTTCACAGAGAAGCGGAAGAAAGCCATGTTTGAAGCTTTGGAGAAGGTCAAGGCTGGTAAATATAAAAAAATTCTCATTTTCTTTACCATTTGAAGAACAATTCTTGATTTATGGACTTCTTTTTTCCGGAATGTGTAGAGTTGATGGTTCTGGGGTTTATTTCACTACTATTGACTTTTAGTCAATATTACATAGCCAAAATATGCATCCCGGATAGCATTGCTGATACAATGTTGCCGTGTCCGGTGAGAGATAAACCTCAGAAAGATGACAAAGAAGAAGGAAGCCACCGATTGCTTCTTTGGTATGAGCATCGTAGATCTTTAGCCGAAGCCTCTAAATCCAGTTGCAAGAAGGTAATTTTGATCTGAAGGCTTGGAGTAACATGTAGGGCTATTGACCAGGAGGCTGCACGGTTAAGTCACATAAATAGCCTCTCTGTCAAATGCAAAGATGCTACATAAGTTAGCTGTTGGCAGATAAGCTATTTGTTGACTGAAAAATTAGTTGTTGGCTAATAAACTAGTTATTAGCTTATAAACTAGTCATTTCCCCTCCCCAACACTTGAAAATCCATGGAACCTTGGTGCCCAAGAGTCACCCTTTTACTAGTTCAGATACAAGCCAATCTTCAAAGACTTATCCTCCTCCTCCTCAACACTTACAAAACAAAGTGCAATAGGGTTGGCTTTCTGCTAGCTTTGCTACTAAACAGTCTTCATTGAGACAATACTTCCATAAAGAAAATAATTTCAAGAAACAAAAGTAATACTGAATTGCTATTTTTGCATAATTTGTTGTTATTGTGAGCTAAAAGCTCATATTTTGATAGGGTGAAGTAGCGATTATAACTGTTGATGGACTGCATCAATTGCACATACTCATATTCTTTCTTGCCGTCTTACATGTGGCATACAGTGCTGTCACTATGGCTCTCGGAAGACTAAAGGTACATTACATTGACTAGCATGTAACTCTATATTCGCTCCAATGCTAGATCGTGAGACCCTTATATACTTCATGTATTTTGAAACAACTGTTCTACGCTTCAAGGTAGAAGTCAAGTTTGCATACATCTTACCCCCTAGAACCCACCTCCAGTTGGGTTATACCAGGCTTGTTTGGTTTGGTATTTTCGAAAAGTGTTTGACTTTTGGTCAAATTGGCCATTTCCAAATTCGCACATACTAACTCTTGTCACAAAAAATTGTGACATAACAAAAGAACCTCAATGGACCCTAAGCTAATAGTCCCTTTGTTAAGTGTCCACATAGTTTGTCCCAAAATAAGTGTCCATAGTTTGTCCCAAAATAAGTGTCCACTTTCAAAAGTAAGTGCATATTTTCCAATTCTACTCTTAATTATGAGATGGAGAAATTCATTCCCCCGTCTATGATTAAGGAATTTTTTTTGTCATTTAGTTAATTAAAAAGTGTAATAATTACACATTTCTAGTAGTGGGTCTTTTTCATCATTTGCGTGCACTTATTTTGGGACGGAGCGATTATTAGTTGGGTATCAATATACTTGATAATGATAATGGACAAATAGGTGAATTTATCATGAACGTGGGGAATATATGTTTCTTTTACGTATCTAGTTATATATATGAATATATATGCAGATCCGTGGCTGGAAGCAGTGGGAGGAGGAGACTTCATCCCACAACTACGAATTCTCCAATGGTACAATCACTTCTATGACTTCCTCAAAAAGGAAAAACGAACAAAGAGGCTGTTTACTGAACTTATTGACTCTTACCGCATAACTAAACACTTACCTCTTACCTGGTCAGAGATGGTTTTCACCAACAATCTTAGCATGCTATTTTGCTGATTGAGAATCTTACTCGGTAAGTGAGAGTTGTGACTCTTATGCGGTTAGCACTTAACAGATAAGAGACACTTATACTATGCTATTTTGATGACCTTGATCTTACCCAGTAAGGTAAGTGATGGTGGTGACTCTTGCCCGGTAAGCGCTTACCCAGTTTGTGTTGGTAAATGACCCCTAAAGAAAATCTAGCCCAAAAATTACGCATTTTTGCATAACTTACTCCACTAGTTCTGAGCCATGATTGAAAATACAGATACTTCACGATTCAGGCTAACCCACGAGACATCTTTTGTGAAAGCGCACACTAGTTTCTGGACTAGAATTCCTTTCTTCTTTTACATTGTAAGTACTTGAGGCCACGGTCACACATCTTTGTTTTTTTACTTTCCTTACACCATCCTTAAACTCCACCACACTTGTTTGGTTTCTTGTAGGGATGCTTCTTTCGGCAATTTTTCAGGTCTGTTAGCAAGTCTGACTATTTGACGGTGCGAAATGGGTTCATCAATGTGGGTTTTTGGATCTCGATTTTTGACTCAATTTGTCTTCTTGGGCTCTTGGCTCTATCTAAATCACTAATATTTTTAATGGTTTAGGTTCATTTAGCTCGCGGGAGTAAGTTTAACTTCCAAAAGTATGTTAAGAGGTCATTAGAGGACGATTTCCAAGTAGTTGTAGGCATCAGGTGCCAAAAATTTGTTTCCCATTGTTCTTCCAGATCTTTGTTTGATTATGATGATTGACTTGTTGACTTTGTGTTGTTCGCAGTCCTGTACTCTGGGCATCATTCGTGATTTTTTTGCTCCTCAATGTTAACGGTAAGCTCATTACTACTAAATTAGTAGTGCTTTAAGTTTGATCACCAACTTTCTATCAGAAAGAGTCAACCTTTGACTTCCAGATGTCAAATGAGTGATGTTTTAGCTTCAAAATTGACGTGGATCAAGTGTAGAAGAAACTGATAGCTACAATGAAGCATATAAAGAGTTGCAATATAGAAATATTTCGGAAAGTAAAATTTAGAAAAAATTGTCAAATTTGAATCCGAAAAAGTTCCATTTTAATTTGAAGTCAAAAGGCAAACTCGTTGGACTATGATAATGTTACCCTTCTGAAATTGGTTCAAATCTTGTATGTTAGGGTCTTATATCGGCTATACTTGGCCCAATTCTCCTCAATGTTTTTGGAAGCTTCCTTTTCTTCTTAATGGCTCTTTTGGAGAGTAACTGGATGAGGTTCCACATACTCTTTCACATGGTATTAGAGCCAAGGTCTACCACTCTAGGGACTCGCCACTTCGGGGCAATCTGTACCCGTTTAGCCCCCTCTCTTGACACTCTTGGACAATTTGTGCAAGTCTATTTTGGGTTGGAGGGGGTGTCTTAGAGTCTCAAATCGGCTAAACTTGTACCTGTTCTCCTCAATATATGTTGGAGAGTAAATTATGTTTTTTTGTCTCTGTGGTTTGTTAATAATTACAATTTTCGTTCCTATGATTTTGAAAATGCGGTTTTCGTCTCTATGGTTTGTAATTCATTGCTATTTTCATTCTTATGATTTACAGTTTATTGTTGTTTCGGTCCATGTGGTTTACAATTCTTTAATGTTTTGGTCCCTTGTACTTTAAAGGTAGGAATTAATCCATGGACAAAAATAGCAATAAATTGCAAACGATAGTCGCAATTTCTAAACCACAGGGACAAAAATCTTAATTTACTCTACTTTGGAACTTCCTTTCTCTCTATAAGGTACATATTCTTATATTGTACATATTCTTATATTGTAGATTTACAAGTTCTTGATATTGAGAAACTCTGCACTTGCAGGATGGCAAGCCATGTTTTGGGCATCATTGCTTCCGTTGGTCGTAAGAGCCTCTTTTTGTTTGTTCTGTTGTGTGGTTACTAACATTCTTATATTTTTGAGGATCGATTGAGAATGAAATGTATGATTGAATAATTTGCACAGGTTATCTTAGCGGTAGGAACAAAACTTCAAGCTATCTTGACGAAAATGGCTCTTGAAATCACTGAAAGACACGCAGTTGTTCAAGGCATACCGCTCGTGCAAGGGTCCGATAAATATTTTTGGTTTTCGAAACCACATTTAATTCTTCATCTTATACACTTCGCCCTGTTTCAGGTAAGAACTCTACTTCATAGTTCTACCAACATCCACGCCATCAATTTGTTTGTAACGATGGTAGCAAGCCGTTAAAAGGCTATGTTTGGCGACTGGCTAGCTTATTTTTTGAGCTTTGATTTACCATACTCTAGCTTTTTTAAAACGTCTTTCAAGTAGCGTTTCAATAAGTTCTAAGGGCTTTTTTAGTTTTTTTTCCAATTATACCCTTATGCTTTCCAATTATTTTTTTTCCAACATGCTTCTTTAAGTTATTTTATCTTGTCATCTAGCTTATCAACTAGTTTTTACCAAACTTGAGTAGTTTATCAACTAGCTTATAACAACTAGCTTATTAGTTCCAAACATAGGCTAATTTTACATTGGGTTAAGATTTGCAGGAGATAAAAGGGAGTCGTTTGGATTGTTGCTAATGACTCTTTTTATTGGTTTTCTTTTTGCTAACAGAATGCATTCCAAATCACATACTTCTTCTGGATATGGGTAACATACACGGATTTACATTCCCGACCCTTACGAACACGAGGAGCCCTGGTGCACCCAAGGGTCCATGGTGGATTAGATAGGTGCACCAAGGCTGCTGTTACTTTTTCCAATTCTAAGAAGTTCACGTTAACCATTGGTGAATGTGAGACTTTTTTTCTACTTGTGCAGTATGAATATAAGATCGGTTCTTGCTTCCACGATAATATCAGACTTGTTATTTTGAAGCTTATCATCGGGTAAGAATGTAATTTCCAGGTGAAAACAGCCACATTGTCAAACATCGGATCAAATTGATTTTGTGTCGATTCTTCATAGGGTTGGCGTTCTCATACTGTGCAGCTACATAACACTACCGCTCTATGCCCTTGTATCCCAGGTATGGTATCCGCCTTACATACCAGCTTTCTTGACAGTCGTCCTATGAAAAGTTCGTGGATCGCGACAAATTCAAAATCATTTTGGTCGGGATCCCTGAGGGTGCGTTTGGTATTCAGGACATGAGAGAACAAAAACTTGTATTCTCATGTTTGGCGCAACATTAGACTCGAACAAGAAAAAGATTGTGTAGGACAAAATGCATTTTTTGTCCCATCTTAATAATTGGAAACAAAATCAGCAAGATAAGACAAGATAGGTAAATTACTAAATTAGCCATGTCAAATTAAAACCATAAAAACTTCCACAATTCTTTCGCCTGCCTACCTCACTCTTGTCAGTCTAGTCTCGTCGCGTACAGTCCTGTCATTGTATTAAAGGCACCCTATGAGAGAAACCAGTCTGGACTAGTTTGTAATTTTGAGTTCATATGGATTCTTGAACATGGTTTTTAGATGGGCTCGAACATGAAGAAATCCATCTTCGACGAACAAACATCCAAAGCCCTCATGAATTGGAGAATGGCCGTGAAGAAAAAACGTGGAGGCGGTGGCGGGAGCACCGGTGGCAATTCGCCTACACGGACAATCGGGAACACTTTCGGTCCTATCCCCACTCCATCCATGCCATCTTCGGTTGGTCCGCTCCAACGGTTCAAAACCATGGGTCACTCACCACCGTCCATGGTCTACAAGGACACCGATGTATCAGATTTGGAATCCGAGCCAATGTCTCCGGAATCATCGTCCATGCACTTACTAAAAGTACGAGTTGATCATCAGAACATGCCTCGACAACGAGATGACACGAAGAACGAAGACGATTTCTCATTCGATAAGCCTGCACCCTTGTCTTAATAGAAGTAGCCCGGGAAAGTTCGAGTCCGTATTTGGAGGCCAGTATTTTCCCGACCTAAAAACATATAATTTTTCCATATAATCGATATACTCGTTTATCATCAAAAATACGGTCATTACAATACGCTACTTCATCTATATACATATAATAAATAACTTCCTTTTGAAGTATATAATATTTATGTACTAGAAATACTAAAGGAGTTGTTTGTTTACCTCTTAATAATTTCATTAAGAGGCAGCATCTGAATCATTAAGAGGTTAATATTGTTTGACAAAGAAAAAGTCTGTCTCTTAATGGTTCTAAAATCCTCTGAATGATGTGGTATCATGGGTCTCCCTTAACCATTCAGCATCCTAATTTCATTGTAAACAATAATCGAACAATTACATTTCATTTTGCACTATATCATGAGAGCCTCTTAATCATTCTGATCACTTAATTATTTTGCACCAAACTATTTAGCAACTGTCAAAAAACACTTATACATATTCTTTACTTTTAGTTGGATTTGAACCTTGAGTTAGGCTAATGACCCTTTTGTATATCATAAGAAGCTTGTAATGGTAAATTATGATCGTCTTATAAATTCTTACCTTACGTGACAATAATTTATAAATAGTTTGCATTATCATCATATTTTTAATACCATAATTACTTATCAATAAATAAAAAAAAGAAAAAATATTATCAGGTTTATCTGATCTAACTTGATTTTATCTGTTATTCAATATGTTCGTCTTTCTCATTTTGCCACCTCTATTGTTCTCTCTAACGTAAGCAGTACCTCAGGGGTGGACCCACACTAGTGGATACGGTTCGTTCATCCGTCGCAGTGTAATTTTTTTTAAAGTTGTGAAAGATGCCCCCATTGAATCATTTTGTTATGTGTAGCCATATATTTTGAAACTAAAATGAGAACACAAATTTCCCTTGAATCGGTTAATAAGTCTTTTCCCCAAAGTAGGTACAAGTGCTTTTTAATTTCAGATTTATTTTGTTTTTAAACTTTTTTGTGATAAAAGACGTGGACACAAGAATTCACGTACAAAAAAAACAATGAACTAAAAAACCGATCAATAACGATTTCGTGAAAAATATCCATATCTTCGTTTCTTATAATCAAATTATGCCAGCACTTAAAAGTTCCTAGGTCCGTCTCTACCGGTGCCAACCCTACACCGACTCTTAAATAAAAAACTAGTTGTTGGCTAATAGACTATTCGTAAGCCGATAAACCTTTTATATTTGATAAAAACTAGCTTATAAGATGATACTGTAAAATAACCTAAAACGACATGTTGAAAAAATTAATTGACAAAATACATATGGGTTAATTGGGAAAAAAAAGGTAAAATAAACGTATTGAAACCTACTTGAAGTAACTTTCTAAAAAATTAGTTTATAAATTACTTTATGGATAATCAAACAGGACTCTTTCAATAAGTTTAAAAAATAAGCTAACTTATGGTCGATAAACGCGTATATGACACAAAAACCAGATATCTAGAATCAAGGATATGGCTGTTGTAAATAAGATCCATAAAATAGAAATCTTAAATGAATTTTTTGGTCTGGAGCCGTTAGTTATCCAACACATAATCTGATTTCATCTGTGTAGTAATTATATATGGATTATCATCTTTATAGAATTAGTAATGTTTCGGCTCAAACTTGTCAAAATTTGGTACTTAGCGACAACGGTGAAATAACTCTATCCGTTTCTGTCAACGGGTTTAAATCCAATGTATCGGTACATAAGAATGCTTATCATGTGCAACAATTTCCCGTCTTCTCATAATCGAAAACCTGATCCAATTAGGAATGGTCTTGTATCAATCAGAAAGACATGGTTATTAGGAAACTAATACTTTTTTATTATTATCTGAAAACAAGATAATACTTGTTCATATAAACTTATTCAAATGATTGCGATTTTTTAGAACTGGTCGGTGATGATACTCCTCGCCCTTAAACACGACCCTAATTTACATTACTTTTTTTACTAAACCGATACCCGTGCACTCAACCGTTTTTTGTACATCGATCCTATTATTGGCTACAAAATTGGTTATTTGAGCGAGATATTTATGTAAATATGATATTGTTAAGACGAATTATATATGAAATATATGGGTTTTTCTGAAAACAGTGCAACACTTTTTATTTTGGGTTGTCTAAGAACGTAGTACTATTTTTGGAAAGATTTCATGATAATTTATCTTTTTGTGTTAATATTCATCACCCAAAATCAATAGTTTTGATTATAAGTTTACTAGATTTTTATTTTTTTATTTTTATGGAAATAATACGCATTTAATTTATAATCAAGCATTTTTATTAAATTAAATGATAATTCCATTTTTAATTAAAAAGGAAGTCCCAGTTTTAGGTCTAGAAATGCTAAAACGTGTTTGTAAAATTGGTTAAATCATTCTTGTTCTTTATTACTTAGGTTAATGCATAAAATAACAACGCATTTTACGCCAAAATTCTCATTTTCGGCAATGTGTACATACACAAAAGATCATGCGAGAAGAAGAGAGTTAAGGCGAGAAGGGATCTCAACTCGTAATTATTTTTAATCTCAAATTCATCCACGAATTGCGATTGATACGAGGACTGATCCAGTAATCTCATCCTAATGTGCATCTAAGGGCGAAGGTTTCTTCTTACCCTTCTCATCATACACATTAGAAAATTGGGTATTAGCGACAGACTCAATCCCTCGCTAACTAGCGACGAGTGGGGTTTGTGGTCCTCGCTAAGCTAGTGGTCAGTTCATCGCTAATCCCTCGCTAATTAGTGACGGATTATCGAAGGATTGACCCCAAACCATTTCGTCACTAATCCCTTGCTAATTAACGAGGGATTTATTTATTTTTCTTATTTTTCCATTTATGTGTTATATGTACAAATGTGTATGTGTTATATGTGTATTTGTTATATGTAGCTGTCGATCTGTGTTATACATATGTATGCATGATATGTATGTGTGTTGGTTGCTAACCGCGATTGAATATATGTATATATTGTTTTAGTTAGTGTATATGTGTTGTGTATATGTTATATGCATGTGTATATGTGAATGTATAGATAATGTGTGTGTTGTTTGGTAACCACATATGATGTGCATATATGTTGTATATATATACATATATGTGTATAGTGGCGGATCCATGATTTTTGTTCATTGATGTCACCTTTAAGGTAGATTAAAGGCCTGCAAAATCATCCGATGTGGTTTTAATCTAATTACAACGTTTCGAAGGATTTTTAAAGTTTTTGGTTGATTTCGAGGGATTTTTTAGTGTTTTTGTCGATTTCGAATAACTTTTTTGGTTTTTTGATTGATTTCAATAGATTTTTTTGGTTAGAGTAACGGTTTCAATTGGGGTTGGGGGCCAGTGGAAAAATGTAATTGGGAGAAGTGAAAGGTAAATCATGTAAAACCTAAATTTTAACCTAGGAATTGTTTTTGAGCTTTTGACTCGGGTCCCCCTCCCCCACGCTATTGCATCCGCCCATGTATGTATATATGTGAATGTCTAGATAATAATGTGTGTGTTTGTGTTGTTTGGTAATTGCATCAAATAGGTAACAAGTCACCATTGGTATTATTGAGCCTTAATAAGTCATAAAGGGTTTTCTTGGTGCTATAATGAATTTTAGTGGGTCTTATTGAGATATAGTGGGTTTTAGTGGTCATATCGAACCCAGTAGACATTACATGCATATTTAGTAGCTCTTAGTGGACTTTAATGGATCAATTCAGTTTTAATGAGTTTTATTGGGTTTTAATGAGTTTTATTGAATCTTAATTTGTTTTATTGGGTTTTAATGAGTTATATTGGGCTTTAATGGATTTCAGTGGACTGTAATGGATCCATTGAGCTTCATTTGGTTTTATTGGGTTTTAAAGAGTTTCATTGGTTTGTTGGGCTTTAATGGGTTATATAGGGTTTTAATGGATCAATTGACTTTAATGAGTTTTATCGGGCTTTAATCCGTCATATTGAGATGTTGGTCCCTTGAGGATCTACAAGATTAGTAAAACAGTTTGTAGAAAAGGGGGAGGGGGGGAAGGGGTGAATACAAACACAATATTTTCAAATTTAAAATGTATATTGATAAAGAAGATCAATACAAATTTTACAAGATTGTTTGCGGAAAGATAAGGTAAGAAAACCTATGTAAACAATCTTTGGTTACACAAAAATTCTTAGCAAATGAGAAAAGAAATGCTGTAAAGAGAAGATCCTTTACTTAAGCTAGAAAATGCTCAAAGTAAGAATTAGGTTTAGAGAGTGAGTTGCTCACACTCTGCATAGAGAAGAAACACTTCTATTTATACCCAGTGCATTAAATGAACATTTAATGCAATACGGTAGGGTTAGAGTGCGTATCAAGCCTTAAGAGGAAGGCTTGTCCTTTGCCACAATAAATAGTACAAAAAGCATTATTCATGGGCAGACATCTTTACCTAAAGTTGGTGGACAATAGAGTCGACTAGTCGGCTCTGTACCGTACCAACGATTATAAGGGTATGGGTTTGTCCTTTGTGTGCATAAAGACAAGACAACAACAATCGTGCTAAGCAAGCATCCTTTGATCGTTGAATGCTGGAATGACCTGAAGGTCTCTTCATCATTCGCTGAGGCTTGAGCAGTCTTCACATATATGTAGACGGGTTTGTAATCACTGAGTACGGCTTCAGATCACGTACTCACCAGTCTCTATTCTTCAGTTTCAGTCTTCGACATTAGCTGAAGGTTCTTTGGTGTGAGTGTTGTCTTCTTGATGTATCGCTGTCTCTGATCAAATTACAATACAAGTTCTTCAGCGATCACTGAACAAGTTCAGTGATGATCGCTGAAACTGAAAAGACAGAAACATAAATACAACGTATAAGTGAAAATGGATTATCATCAAATCACTGAGAGAAAGGATCAATAATCTCCCTCTATTTGATGATAACAAGGCAACATAAAGAAAGTTGTCTTAACAAATAATAATAAGGAAAAGTTATACATAAAGTACATGTCCCTTTTTACTATTTTGGGATCTTTTTCAGTAAGTCAGTCTTTGT